GAAAAATATGTTCGACTCAAGCGTGCTATTTTTCGATCTATTCAACTGAAACTGGCTTCCGAAATTATTCGACTGAGATGTTTCAACCGACTACACAAAGAAAAAATGCGTTCGACCCAAGCGTAGATTAGACAAAAACCGGCTACTTTTCGACCGAACGAAAGAAAAACTGTTCCGATTTCATATTGAATCAGAAACATGGAATTTATTTTGCCCACAAAGCGTGATACCGCCGCCATCATAAAATCAAACTGTTCATATCCTTTTGCAAAATGAATGGAAACCAATAGCTAAAGTATTGGGAATACTCGTATAACGTTTAAACCTTTGGGAGTGAAAACGACTCTTCTCGTGAAATACGAACATTAGCGACACTAGCTGGCTGTATGATTGCGTCGTTGCTTTCGCTATACAGTAGAAAAAACCATGTGCGAAACTACCGAATTGTAATTCTAAGATCGATAATGAATGAATTCAACTTGTCATGAATGAACTTGTGAATATGAACCTGATTCGAAAAAAAAACAAGGGAATTGCCATGAACAATATAATGTGATTACGTGTAAATGAGTATATTTTTATATCCTGAATGAGTTTGACTTGTTTCTGCCGTATGGTCTTTTTGATAGGAGACTTCTTACCCATATATTTGAATTCGTACTTTTTAATTTTTTTGTTGTATTTTTGGTTCTACAGTTATTTTCAAAAAGTTTGTCGGCTCAGATGATGCTCGATAAACGTTTTTGAATTTATATTAAACGTATCGATTGTGTTTCTATTAATTTTTTTGAAATAAGGTTTAAGCTCAATAAGTTCAAGAAAAAATATCATGCACCAAAGAAAACATCAGGATGGTTTCCAATTGGAGTATGTTGCCTCTTTAGTGAGCCAATTGAACTCATTTCGTGTTATATTATTTAATCCATTTGACTACACTCAATTTTGTGAATGGTTACAAAGGGTTTGAGATGTTTTAGGGGGGACTTTGCTTTCTCAAATGAACAGACGACAAATGTGAGATACTATATTCCGCTTGATATGGATTTCACAAAACTACATCAGAAATCCTCTTTCAATGAAATTCAAAGCTTCTCCGTTATATGCGACGACTATACAGCTACTTTTGTTTTCGAATTGCCCAGAGAAGTTTTCCGTCTCAATTATGAAGACGGTTATGAAGGTGATGAATCTTTCGAAACCATCAAAAAGCCGGAAGATTTCCCGGAATTGATAAAAAGCAACGGGCCTAACCTTGCTTTTTGGAGCCAGGAGAAGTTACAAATTTTCATCAAAGATGATATTATTTCATTTTCCGACTGCCAAATTAACTCTAAGCCTTCTTATTTCTGGTCCGACTATAACTATTTTATGTCAGCCCTGCTGTGCGAAGGAAACGTCATCTACGTAAATTAGTGTTTGTATTGTAGTGTATTAGTGTGAGTTACTAATTGACATGCTAGTGTTTGTGGTCACTGGAACTGTCATCGAAGGGGAAGAAGATAAAAAATACAAGCCAGTTTTCCCTGGACTGTACCACGTGACTAGTAGCTGGCTGTATGATTGCGTCGTTGCTTTCGCTATACAGTAGAAACTACCGAATTGTAATTCTAAGATCGATAAATATATATCATATGTCGATAATGAATGAATTCAACTTGTTATGAAAGAACTTGTGAATATGAACCTGATTCGAAAAAAAAACAAAAGAATTGGAATGAACAATATAATGTGATTACGTGTAAATGAACATATTTTTATATCCTGAATGAGTTCGACTTGTTTCTGCCGTGTAGTCTTTTTGATAGCAGACTTCTTACCCATATATTTGAAAAATTTATGAAAAAACTAAGAACCCAGAAACTAAAATACTACTTTTTTTTTACAATTATACCACTAAAACATGTTTTTTTACCCGGTTATAGATGTTTTTATATATTTTTGATAACTCCGCTGGCAAAATTGTTACCCAGTTTAGGATACCCGGTGGGGCGTTTATATCTTCACGTCCATTTTTTGGCTCTTTTTTCTACCCCGGGACCCGCAATTTTTTTAAAGAAATTTAGCGTTAGCATTATCCGATTGTTATGAATATAGACTTGCGGACGATATAGGCAATAACAAACTTATTCCGTCTTCATACTAACGTTGTAAAACCACTGGTTACTCCATAAATTTGAGGCTCATGCGAGGTGGGGAAAAACAAAAAGACTATTTTTCTTTTTTAGTGGCTGACTTTCATTTATAAATTTGAGATTTTTTTGAGAGGAAGTGGACAATATAAACCAGGATCGCATGTATCCTCACAATCAATGAACAAGTTTTGATCGAATAAATCAAAACAGAGCATCCTACCAACAGTCTAAATAATCTAATTGTTCTAGGAAAAACCGACCGATGCACTGACACCAACTATCGACTCCACTCCAGACGATGACTTGCGAGACTTTGAGGACCTTCTCTCCCTTCTCTCACCCATCGGTCCACTGGAATCTCAACCACTAACACCCACTCTACTAGCAACTACTTCCACTGCTATTACTACTACCACCCCTGCTACAAGACCGGCCCCTTCACGATCCTTCACTCTGCCACCACCCAACACATTTTTACCTGCTTCAATAGCTCCTAAATCAAAGCATCAACACCCCTGCGAACTTCCCCTCTTTAATTCAAAATACACCTGGTTCCTTCTAATTCTCGCATTGAGAAACGAACCCAAATAGTTCGACCCGATCAGGTAAAAACGGCTAACTCGCCGGTACCAGGTTCCACACACTTAATGACAGTTAGGTGACAGCCCTTGCATCCTACTTAACTAAATAGACAATTGCATATTCAGTTGGACAAAGAGCACCATATTTCCTCAAATACCAAACCAGAATTTGACATGGTTTTGAACTATGCGTTGAATCCTCTGATAAATTACTTCAAATTGGAAGCTTACCATCCAATACGGAAACTGTACTTCATAACAAATTCACTCTTTGATCACCAAAAACTATGATCCCGCGAAGTGTTTAAAAGCAAAAACGCAAACCCCCGAGATGGATGACTATACCGAACAGATACAACCGAGTCACATTAATGAGACCCATCAGATCCGGGAACTTAAAAAAAACAAATACACAAAGTCATCGAAACATAGAATAGACAAAAACATAGAGTTTATTGTGTTCACAAAGCGTGACGCCGCCGCCACAATATATTCAGTCTGTTTACATCCCTTTGCAAAATAAATTGAAGACTTAAAGTATTAGAGATAACTCGTATAACGGTTAAAGTATTGGTAAATAAGACTCTTCTCATGAAAAACGAATAGTAACGACTCTACTAGTAAAATACGAACGTAAAATACGAACATACCTCGTTTAAAGAGAGTATTGACATGACAAGGGTGTTGACATACCTCATGAGACCCGAAGAATTAATGACAAAAGAAAAGGCGCTGGGCACGATTTGTTAAAGTCGAATGGACAATTTAAACTTCCGTTTTTGTCATGATTTTATGACATGTACAGAAACAGCGATGAAAAGAGCCGTAATTTTGATTAGTTAACCGAGGAAATTTAAATTGAACAGACCTCTATCAGTTGGCCGCCAATATCTTGAATAAAAGCTTGCAGCTAACTTATTTAATTTCGTGAAATAAACACAAAACCTTGTTACTGCTACATAACGTATGATCAACGAATGACAATCCTTGATTAAACAAAAATTCTTGATTCCGATACAACGGTTAGCGCCGTATCATAAATCAATGATTATTGAAAAAAAATGATTCCGATGAGGTAGTTAGCGCAAAAACTTAGTATTTATGAGTGTTATACTATGCAAGAGACCCAAAAACGAGGTGGTAAAGGCAGAAGAACATTCTTTGAAACAAGTTGAAAAAAGAAAGCCGTGCAACGATTTCAACGACAAGGTTTAGCTTTAATAGCCAACAAATATAATGAGAGTGGTCCCGATCTTTTATCGAATTTTTGAATTGAAGTCTGTTGCTTCTGAAAACCCAGCCTAATTTTATTCAGAAAAAATTTCACCCTCTATAAGTGTCATCACTACGTTCATTGACATTTAATTACCACAATGGACATGCTGCAATTTCAGTTCACTCTATTAGACAAAGAGCAAACTGCGTGAACTTAATGAAGGTTGATAAGTTCTATACATTTGTTCTAAACTATCTCGCTCAGATTTAAAATGATTACTGCGCTACATTAAATCTATAGCACTGAAAATATCACTATGAATGCAAAAGCTCAACTTCTAATCGACCCCTGCCTCGTAGCTCACAGCAAAAGAAAATCTGGCACTTGCAGTCCAGAAGAAATTGTGACGTCATTTGGTCAGACTGAAAATGCTGCAAAAACTGGATCTGTGAAGTTGACCTTAAATGTGTGAATGTGCTGGTGAAACTCTGTTATGAAGAACGCCACAAAGTTCTCATTTAGATCCAAAGGTGTTCCGACTGTGACCGATTTCAGAGGAGGCGAAGATGATGGAAGCTCGATATTGAGTTGTTTTTTCTTCTTGTTGTGGTAGCAGAAGAGTCGTCCCTCTTCGATTGCGAGGAACCCAATCGCCCAGGAGTCCCCGATTAGACTATCGCGAGGAGTGTTCAGGTAAGCCACACCTGAACAAAACATCAACCATGACTGATATTTTTCATATATGCATTAACTGTTTTAAACTAAAAATAATCTGAACACAGTTTGAAGTCTAATTCCGAAGTGAACTGAAACACAGTGAATCAAGTTTCGTAAGCTCAGAAGATGAGTTAAACGAGTTTAATTTCAACTTGCGCAGAGCTCTACGATGATTAATGAGAATAGAGCGCCAAATTGAAAGAACAAACTGACCTATTCTGTCTGTTGATTTGACCTTCACTTTCACTTCCCAGTAGTGCTTGCCCTTGTTCACGCTCTTGTCTCCCAAAACAGAGAAGGAGGCCCCGAGGAAGCAGTCTTCCCCTAACTGTCCCAGTCTACTCTTAGCACCCCCTCTGTCATACTGCGCTGTGTTGCCAGTAATCTGAAATTAAAACAAAGAATTCTAACTGCTTACTCTCTAAAAAAAACACTACAATTCTTTTTCCGTGGAGTATAAAACAGATTCGCACAGAATCAAATTCGCACTTTAGTTCACCTCATTTTCTTTTTGATCTGATTTTAAAACACAGCGGCAAAGCGGAGCTTCACATTACTTGCGATGCTACAAAATAGCATTACACGCTAGCAGACAGGAAAGAAAAGGAGAGCCACTAAGTCCAAATAAAACGGCCTTAGTAGCTCTCGAAAAAACCACATCTAAAAAACTTCGAAATGTTGTCTGGAATGATACTCTATTTGCCGAAAACATGTCCAAAAACACATTCGACGGCGTTTAATGAAAATTCCGAAACAATTAACGAGCAAAAATGAAACTATTGTCATGAAAAACTGAACTAAAAACTCTACTAGCGTTCAACGCACCTCGGTGCTTCGAAACTTTTCGACAAATCATGAAAAACCGCATATATTGAAAACAACATCTGCAAACTTTTAGTGTACTCTGACTGCACCCAATTACAGGGTTGGTAATTTCGATCTTTTAAATTTTTTCAGTTCCCATTTTAAAAGCGTCATCTCGAAAACTTAATGGGCCTCTGGAGAAATTTGGATGTCAGATTAGCATCCACTGAGAGTACCTGAGAGCACCCTACTATAGGGTTAGGAATCCAAAATTTTGTGAATTTTTTTAAACCTAAGTTTCGCGAAAAAAAAAATGAAAAAACGTCTTATCTCGGAAACTAAAAGAATTTGAGCATTCATATTAAGAGGCAAGATTTGAGACGCCTGGTTGTACGCTGACAATAAGGTTGTATCTTCATCAATTTAGTAGTTTCAAATTTTTTGAATTTTGAGAAATTTCGAGAAAATCAAAAAACGTCACATCTAGGAAACTTAAATCATTTGATCAGTCGCGTTTAGCAGTCGCATGTGGTAAGATTTGCAACTTGTTAGAGTACCCTGACAACACCGAAATATAGCGTTGGGACTTTCAAATTTTGAGAAATAATAAATTTAAAAATTTTCTGAACTTTTTTGAAAAAATCACAAAACATCATATCTCGAAAACAACAAAAAATTGAGCAGTCATATTTGGAGGCAAGATTCGCGATTCTTGATAGTACTCTAACAGTACCCAACTACAGGGTTGAGAATTTTAGATTTTGAAAAAATAAAGAATTTAAGTTTTCTGAAAATTTTGAAAAAAAAAAACACAAAAAACGTCACTCGAAAACTACAAAGAATTGAGCAGTCAAATTTGGAGGCAAGATTCGCAATCTTTGAGATTACTCTGATAGGACCCAATTACAGAGTTGGTAATTTCAGATTTTGCGAAAAAAAATTAACTTAAGTTTCCTGAAAACTTTGAAAAAAATCAGAAAAAACGTCAATCTCGAAAACTACAAAGAATTGAGCAGTCATACTTGGAGGCAAGATTCGCAATCTCTGAGAGTACTCTGACAGGGCCCAATTACAGGGTTGGGAATTTCAGACTTTGCGAAAAAAATTGATATAAATTTTCTGAAAATTTTTTTGAAAAAATCACAAAAAACGTCATATCTGGAAACATACAGGGATTTGAACAGTCATATTTGGAGGCAAGATTGTTAACTCCATAGAGTGTTCTGACAGTACCCAACTACAACGTTGGGTTTTTTCAAATTTTGAGAAATACTTAATTAAAACTTTCTGAACATTTGTTAAAAAAATTACAAAAAACATCATATCTCGAAAATTAAAAGGATTTGAGCAGTCAAATTTGGAGGCAAGATTCGCAAACCTTGATAGTACTCTGACAGTGTCCAACTACAGGGTTGGGAAATTCAAATTTTAAAAAATAATAATTCATGTTTTCTGAAAATATTTGAAAAAATCACAAAAAACGTCATATCTCGAAAACTACAAAGATGTGAGCAGTCATATTTGGAGGCAAAAGTTGTAACTCTATAGAGTATTCTGACAGCACCCAACTATAAGGTTGGGAATTTCAAACTTTGAGAAAAATTTAATTAAAACTTTCACATTTTTAAAAAAAAATTACAAAAAACATCATATCTCGAAAACTACAAAGAATTGAGCAGTCATTTTGCAAGACAAAATTCGCAATCTTTGAGAGTGATCTGACAGGACCCAATTACAGGGTTGGGAATTTCAGATTTTGCGAAAAAAAAACTAATATAAGTTTTCTGGAATTTTTTTTGAAAAAAATCACAAAAAATGTCATATCTCGAAAACTACAAAGACCTGAACAGTCATATTTGGAAGCAAGATTTGTAACTCTATAGAGTATTCTGACAGCACCCAACTATAAGGTTGGGAATTTCAAATTTTGAGAAATATTTAATTAAAACTTTCTGAACATTTTTTTAAAAAAATTACAAAAAACATCATATCTCGAAAATTAAAAGGATTTGAGCAGTCAAATTTGGAGGCAAGATTCGCAAACCTTGATAGTACTCTGACAGTACCCAACTACAGGGTTGGGAAATTCAAATTTTAAAAAATAATAATTCATGTTTTCTGAAAATATTTGAAAAAATCACAAAAAACGTCATATCTCGAAAACTACAAAGATGTGAGCAGTCATATTTGGAGGCAAAAGTTGTAACTCCATAGAGTATTCTGACAGCACCCAACTATAAGGTTGGGAATTTCAAACTTTAAGAAATATTTAATTAAAATTTTCTGAACATTTTTTTAAAAAAATTAAAAAAACATCATATCTCGAAAACTACAAAGAATTGAGCAGTCATATTGCAAGACAAAATTCGCAATCTTTGAGAGTGATCTGACAGGGCCCAATTACAGGGTTGGGAATTTCAGATTTTGCGAAAAAAAAACTAATATAAGTTTTCTGGAATTTTTTTTGAAAAAATCACAAAAAATGTCATATCTCGAAAACTACAAAGATTTGAACAGTCATATTTGGAAGCAAGATTTGTAACTCTATAGAGTATTCTGACAGCACCCAACTATTAGGTTGGGAATTTCAAATTTTGAGAAATATTTAATTAAAACTTTCTGAACATTTTTTTAAAAAAATTACAAAAAACATCATATCTCGAAAATTAAAAGGATTTGAGCAGTCAAATTTGGAGGCAAGATTCGCAAACCTTGATAGTACTCTGACAGTACCCAACTACAGGGTTGGGAAATTCAAATTTTAAAAAATAATAATTCATGTTTTCTGAAAATATTTGAAAAAATCACAAAAAACGTCATATCTCGAAAACTACAAAGATGTGAGCAATCATATTTGGAGGCAAAAGTTGTAACTCTATAGAGTATTCTGACAGCACCCAACTATAAGGTTGGGAATTTCAAACTTTGAGAAATATTTAATTAAAACTTTCTGAACATTTGTTAAAAAAAATTACAAAAAACATCATATCTCGAAAATTAAAAGGATTTGAGCAGTCAAATTTGGAGGCAAGATTCGCAAACCTTGATAGTACTCTGACAGTACCCAACTACAGGGTTGGGAAATTCAAATTTTAAAAAATAATTCATGTTTTCTGAAAATATTTTAAAAAAATCACAAAAAACGTCATTTCTCGAAAACTACAAAGATGTGAGCAGTCATATTTGGAGGCAAAAGTTGTAACTCTATAGAGTATTCTGACAGCACCCAACTATAAGGTTGGGAATTTCAAACTTTGAGAAATATTTAATTAAAATTTTCTGAACATTTTTTAAAAAAAATTACAAAAAACATCATATCTCGAAAACTACAAAGAATTGAGCAGTCATATTGCAAGACAAAATTCGCAATCGTTGAGAGTGATCTGACAGGACCCAATTACAGGGTTGGGAAGTTCAGATTTTGCGAAAAAAAAACTAATATAAGTTTTCTGGAATTTTTTTTGAAAAAATCACAAAAAATGTCATATCTCGAAAACTACAAAGATTTGAACAGTCATATTTGGAAGCAAGATTTGTAATTCCTTAGAGTACTCTAACAGTACCCAACTATAGGGTTGGGAACTTCAAGTTTTGTAAAATATTTGTTATTTAAAATGTTCTAAAATTTCTGAAAAAAATCTCAAAAATCGTCTTATCTCGTTAACTAAAATGATTCGGGCATTCAAAATTGGAGGCCAAATTCGCAACCCCTAATTCGATATTGGGCTGCTTAATTTAAACTCCGTAAAGTAACCACTAAAATCAAATTGGAAAATCGAAAAAAAAATTCTTAACCATTGCAATATACGATATAGCTGAAACATGCAAAAATAATACATTGAAAAAGCTTAAACATGGCGAGATAGAGAAGCCCGCATTTAAATATACAATAGAATAGATTCTGAGACTTTTAGCGTCTTGTGCGAGCCGGAAGAAAGCATATAAACTATGTTTCCTTCGAAAGACCCACTAGACCCACGGACGCTTAATTAATCACAATCACTAGCCTCAGATAAAAACAGAACAGATGCTATGAAAGTTCCAATGCTACAGATTGTGATTATAGCAAAAGTGCCACTAAGTAATGAACACTTCTATTTGCGAGTTAGTTTAGAAAAAAAGAAGGTTCGTGCTAGCTCGAAGGTGTACGCAGCCGTTTCATTTTATACCAGTGTGGGGAACTAGGATATAAATTTTAAAAAATAATAATTCATGTTTTCTGAAAATATTTGAAAAAATCACAAAAAACGTCATATCTCGAAAACTACAAAGATGTGAGCAGTCATATTTGGAGGCAAAAGTTGTAACTCTATAGAGTATTCTGACAGCACCCAACTATAAGGTTGGGAATTTCAAACTTTAAGAAATATTTAATTAAAATTTTCTGAACATTTTTTTAAAAAAATTAAAAAAACATCATATCTCGAAAACTACAAAGAATTGAGCAGTCATATTGCAAGACAAAATTCGCAATCTTTGAGAGTGATCTGACAGGACCCAATTACAGGGTTGGGAATTTCAGATTTTGCGAAAAAAAAACTAATATAAGTTTTCTGGAATTTTTTTTGAAAAAATCACAAAAAATGTCATATCTCGAAAACTACAAAGATTTGAACAGTCATATTTGGAAGCAAGATTTGTAACTCTATAGAGTATTCTGACAGCACCCAACTATTAGGTTGGGAATTTCAAATTTTGAGAAATATTTAATTAAAACTTTCTGAACATTTGTTAAAAAAAATTACAAAAAACATCATATCTCGAAAATTAAAAGGATTTGAGCAGTCAAATTTGGAGGCAAGATTCGCAAACCTTGATAGTACTCTGACAGTAACCAACTACAGGGTTGGGAAATTCAAATTTTAAAAAATAATTCATGTTTTCTGAAAATATTTGAAAAAATCACAAAAAACGTCATATCTCGAAAACTACAAAGATGTGAGCAGTCATATTTGGAGGCAAAAGTTGTAACTCTATAGAGTATTCTGACAGCACCCAACTATAAGGTTGGGAATTTCAAACTTTGAGAAATATTTAATTAAAATTTTCTGAACATTTTTTTAAAAAAATTACAAAAAACATCATATCTCGAAAACTACAAAGAATTGAGCAGTCATATTGCAAGACAAAATTCGCAATCTTTGAGAGTGATCTGACAGGACCCAATTACAGGGTTGGGAATTTCAGATTTTGCGAAAAAAAAACTAATATAAGTTTTCTGGAATTTTTTTTGAAAAAATCACAAAAAATGTCATATCTCGAAAACTACAAAGATTTGAACAGTCATATTTGGAAGCAAGATTTGTAACTCTATAGAGTATTCTGACAGCACCCAACTATTAGGTTGGGAATTTCAAATTTTGAGAAATATTTAATTAAAACTTTCTGAACATTTGTTAAAAAAAATTACAAAAAACATCATATCTCGAAAATTAAAAGGATTTGAGCAGTCAAATTTGGAGGCAAGATTCGCAAACCTTGATAGTACTCTGACAGTAACCAACTACAGGGTTGGGAAATTCAAATTTTAAAAAATAATTCATGTTTTCTGAAAATATTTGAAAAAATCACAAAAAACGTCATATCTCGAAAACTACAAAGATGTGAGCAGTCATATTTGGAGGCAAAAGTTGTAACTCTATAGAGTATTCTGACAGCACCCAACTATAAGGTTGGGAATTTCAAACTTTGAGAAATATTTAATTAAAATTTTCTGAACATTTTTTTAAAAAAATTACAAAAAACATCATATCTCGAAAACTACAAAGAATTGAGCAGTCATATTGCAAGACAAAATTCGCAATCTTTGAGAGTGATCTGACAGGACCCAATTACAGGGTTGGGAATTTCAGATTTTGCGAAAAAAAACTAATATAAGTTTTCTGGAATTTTTTTTGAAAAAATCACAAAAAATGTCATACCTCGAAAACTACAAAGATTTGGACAGTCATATTTGGAAGCAAGATTTGTAATTCCTTAGAGTACTCTAACAGTACCCCACTATAGGGTTGGGAACTTCAAGTTTTGTAAAATATTTGTTATTTAAAATGTTCTAAAATTTCTGAAAAAAATCTCAAAAATCGTCTTATCTCGTTAACTAAAATGATTCGGGCATTCAAAATTGGAGGCCAAATTCGCAACCCCTAATTCGATATTGGATTGCTTAATTTAAACTCCGTAAAGTAACCACTAAAATCAAATTGGAAAATCGAAAAAAAAATTCTTAACCATTGCAATATACGATATAGCTGAAACATGCAAAAATAATACATTGAAAAAGCTTAAACATGGAGAGATAGAGAAGCCCGCATTTAAATATACAATAGAATAGATTCTGAGACTTTTAGCGTCTTGTGCGAGCCGGAAGAAAGCATATAAACTATGTTTCCTTCGAAAGACCCAAATTAGACCCACGGACGCTTAATTAATCACAATCACTAGCCTCAGATAAAAACAGAACAGATGCTATGAAAGTTCCAATGCTACAGATTGTGATTATAGCAAAAGTGCCACTAAGTAATGAACACTTCTATTTGCGAGTTAGTTTAGAAAAAAAGAAGGTTCGTGCTAGCTCGAAGGTGTACGCAGCCGTTTCATTTTATACCAGTGTGGGGAACTAGGATATAAATTCCGAATTTTTTCCGCAGAGTTTTTTGAGGTTAATTGAAAACTGCAGGTCGTTGATGTTGACAATTTGACACTACATAACAACTTCCTTGACCTTGACAAAAGCTGAGGTTGATTGATTGCATTGAAACACTGAAAAGGCGAAAAGTCACGGCCACTGTATTTGACAGCAATGTTTAATGCGGGCAAATTTATTACACATCTCACAATAAATTGCCCAAATAATTTGAAGGATCGATCGGTAATACCGGCGAGTTGCTTTAGGTTCCGATATAGTAAGAATTTGGGATGTCCTAACAGCTAGAGCAACGTCAGGCAAAAAATTTTTCACTAACCCAAAGTTGAAACAGGCAAAATGAAGAGGAAATTTGCGTGCAAATTTGAAATTCCAGGCGACCTCAAAACAAATTCTGTCAGAATGAGCTTTTGGACGCATTTCTTAAAATAGATATTTGATATTCGCAATTAATTTATTCTGTTCCACTTGTTTACAGCTCTCTCTACAGTAACTATAATTTAAATTTACCTTCAAACTGACATGAGCAGTGTTGTTGTCCAGTGCAAACTGGATGGGCAGAGTGCCAGTGCGTAGTATGATTGAGTCGCTGTAGTCACTGTGGCCACTGCTGTTTACAGCCCTCACCCGCACTGTATAATCTGTGTCATACAGGAGGTCCCTCAAGTGACAATGAGTCATCTCCACACCTGACGACACATGAACAACTCACATACACAACTTCAATCATGTTATTTCAAAATGAGTCGATGTCTGGAAAAAATCCAAAAAGTACAACGCATACCCTGGGTCAACATTAACCTGCAAATCTCAATGTAATTTAATTGTGTTTTTCTGATATGTTGAGTGAAGTCAATTTTTATCATTCTTCTTCTAGTCGATCTTCACTTGCTTGAATAAGATGAATAGATTAAAAAAGTTGATTAAGCTGATAATTTAATTGCTGATACTTTATTATTATTTCTTTTTTTAAACTATCAAGGATTTATCTGGTTTAGCTGAAACTTTTTCTGATTGCAATACACCATGCTCAATTGCTAGAGAATATATTTTTCTCGTTTTTGGCACATTCTGCTAGCTGAACATTCTGCGAATAAATCTTTTGAACTTTCAATCAACTTCTCAATTCTACTGATTTTAAACTGCAATAAAACCTAATAGAGAAATTAAAAGAAAAAATATGCGACTTAAGTTAAACGCAGAGGTAAAAAACGGCAAAAAGTAGCTCTAAAAGGATTTTAAAAATGGAAGAAAGAAAAGGTATAACGAAGGGGGATCTAAAGTTTTCTTGAGGGGAGGGAGCGGATTTTTGAAACTTTTGTCAACTTTTTTTTAATCAACCAAATTGTTTTTCGAGCAATCGCAGAACACTATAAAGAACCTATTTTGACCAAAAATTTTGCACCGCAGACAAGTTTTTGAAAAAAATTGTCAAAAAAAGCCATCAAAAATGGTCACTTTTTGGAAAATTTTGGTTAAAAAATTTGCGTTTTTTCGACGCGCGCACCCCTTCAAAATTAGTGTATTTTGGGGCCGAAGGCGCCTTTTAAAAAATTTAAGGATTGTTCGGCCTAAAATGGATGTCATAAAACAATTCCAAAAGGGGGAACCTTTGGGTGGTGAGGGGAAAAACCCTAATGTGGGGGCATCTGTTCCCCCATTTCCCCGAAAACCCGCCCCTGGGTATAACTACAAAAACGTGCCGAAAAAGAAACCCCGACCTGGAGATTACCAGCGGCACATCCTAGCATCTTTAAGTTAAGACGATTTATCCTCAAGGGAAAGGACCAACAAGCGAGCTATTCAGCTTTTCACGATTAACCGCTGCTGCGCCGCTGCTTAAGAGTTAGTTACAGACAATTTTTTGACTATTTTGCTGGGCTTGGTAATGTTGCCTCACCCTCAAGCAACTAGCACATTATAGGCCTCGATCATACAACCTTTCGATTGAGAGGAGGAAACGTAACTATTTCACCATTGCTCCCCATCTAAGCCATGGGCACTTAAGAATCTTCAAACACAAGCCACTAAAAAACCAGATACAAAGATATAACACTATGAAGCAAAAGAAAATCTAACACTGTTATTGCTGCAAAAATGCCACTAAATAAATGAGCGCTTTTTTGCTACTTGTTTTGGAAAAAGTGAACTTCATAATATGACACAACGCTCCGCTCTCGTAAAAAAGAACTCACAGTATAGCACAAGCATTTACTTGGGTAATAATGCCTCATTTGAAATCACACAAGCTTTGCTTGTTTAAACACCCCCATCCGCCTGAACCAATAGGAACTTTCGCTTGAGTCAGTCAAAACCGCGCGGAAAAAAATCACCGTAAGTTGAAGTGGTGGGAAGGAGAACATAAACACATGACCCTAAATAAATTTTGCTACAATGTTAAGAAACATTTCATGAAGAAACGCACAAAAACGCTCCGAATGAGATTTAAAAGAAATGGTTTACCTTCAAAGTTAATCCAATCCGCGCCCTGGTTCGATGACCTGTATTCTACAGTGTAGCAGTCGGCCGGGTTCTCACTGGTTCCTCCCTCTGTGGTCCATTGGATCTGGAATTTGTTTCCCTGACCCTGGCAGTGTTCGCTCAACAGTGTCGGCGACTCGGGAGCTATTAATTAGATAAATATTTTTCATTTGACAGTGAGCCAGATGCATTTGTAAATCTAGCACAATCAGGTACCAGTGGCTTGATTTGAGTTTTTAGTATTTTCTGGAACCAAAAGAGAGTGTCGTCAAGCATCTACATCTTAAGCTCAAGCAAATACGTGGACTTCTAGGCATTCTCATTAGCAGTGCGCACTTCGGACGCAAATGCCAATGCTCAACTAATTTTGCCAGGTGAAAATATTTTTTAAAGAAAAATTCTGATAAATTTTAACTTAAACTACCACCATAAAACGAAAACATTTCAAAGTGTGAAACAATCAAGTTTTTGCTAATACCGGGCATGCAGTGAGACTAATTTCGATAAAAATAAAATGGAAAATGAAAGAAAAGGAAAGAAAAAAAGGTTCAAAATAAGAACGCAACATCAAAAACTTATTTGATTTCCGCTAATGTCAGAATTCCGATCAGGCTGATTTCAGATTTTAAGCATAGAATTTACGGTTACGGCTGCTCCCTCTACAGGTCCCAGAGGGATCGAGTGAGCATCCTACCTCGATCCAGGATACCGGATAGTTGTTTTTAATTTTTCACAAAATTTTTTTTCACTAATGCTTGTTTTCAATTCCTCATGAGAAGCTGTATTAATTTTTAAAAAAATGATTTTATTAATCAATGCTTCCAAGAAAAACTGATGTTAGGCGGTTACAAATGCGGTTGGTGAAAACCAGTAAGGGATAATGATGACAAAAATTGTAAGTTTTCACATGAATATAAAAACAGTTTTTTTCTTTTTTCTTTTGTAAATCGGGAGAAATGAATCAGTTTTCTTTAAGTTTTCCTCGCACCACCCACTGTTCTTAAGTAATGAAGATTCCTGTTCTAGCCGTTTATAAAACTTTGGCAGAAAAAAACCATCAATATGATGTAAAATGTTTTAAAAAAGGAAAAAATTGAAAATTATGTTTTTTTTTTAAAATCAAAAATTTGTAATCTTTGTAATTTGAAAAAAAAGTGAAAATAAATTGCATATTACGATTCAGCGTACCCAACTTAGTGGGTCTAGCATTTCAAATTACCAAAAAAAGTTGAAAATTGTAGATTTAATGAAGTTTTCATTTTGGCTATTTTTCCTTGTCGCCTCTACTTGAGGCACCTTTGAGCCAACTTGAGAAACTGGAACCTGAACAAGCTAGACAGATAGTCTGAATGAGCCATTTTCAGCGTGATAACACGCCTGGAAGAAAAAAATTCCAGAAAAGAAAGAAAATTTTGAACTTTAACCTTTTTTCTTCTTCAAATGGCGATACTTAGAATAATTTTTCAGCTGAAAAGTTAAAAAAAAATCAAAAAATTCAAATTTTGAAAAAATTTTTTAAAAAATCTCATCAGTCTGTTTATTGGAGTCTTCGAGGTTTTGGGAGGCCTTATCTGGCGACTAACAACAAGTGGATCACTCATTTTAAAATTTTGAGAAAGGTCAAAAAAACATGTTTTTTCGATTTTTTGACAGAATTCCGAAAGCAATATCTTGGCTAAAAACAAAAATGAGGGCCTAAAATTAGTACAAACAGTACTCCCACATAAGGTACATTAGGTTGAAAACAAAAAATTGACTCTGATTCAAAAGTCGTTTTTTAACTTTATTTCTGAACAAAAAATTGTAAAAAAAAATCAAAAAAAAATCAATTTGAAAGCTATTTTAGAAGAAAACATGAAGAGCAAACTAGCTTGGAAAAAAGTGTTTTCGTATCATAACACAAAACTCGCAAGCTCGCGTGTGTAATGATTGCTCCGATAACAGATGCGTTGCAATTGAAAACAAATTGGAAGAAAACATGAAGAGCAAACAAGCTTGGAAAAAAGTGTTTTCGTATCATAACACAAAACTCGCAAGCTCGCGTGTGTAATGATTGCTCCGATAACAGATGCGTTGCAATTGAAAACAAATTGGAAGAAAACATGAAGAGCAAACAAGCTTGGAAAAAAGTGTTTTCGTATCATAACACAAAACTCGCAAGCTCGCGTGTGTAATGATTGCTTCGATAACAGATGCGTTGCAATTGAAAACAAATTAGAAGAGAACATGAAGAAAATAAGATAAAGTTGAAAACAGATTGCCGTCTGTTATAATACAATTGCGTATTTATAATTGCAAGTAACAAAAAAATTCAATTTGCAATTCTGACTGGTCAAAAATGACATAACAGAACAAAATCTGATAGCGGAAAAAGTGATATTGGATCTACTTAATAATTACCCCTCCCCTCTATGGTATCTACAAGAATCGCCCTCTTTAAATAAATAGCAAATTCAATTGTCAAGCGGGTACAATTGGTTGATACGATCGCAGATGGTATGAAGACAGTTGTTGATTTTAGCATAATGGTTCCTTCACATGAATTCTTGCAAATACCAGTGAAAGATAACGGGGGTGACAACCACACATTTTTCACTTGCAGTTTTTTCTATTCCAGTGAGATTCCACATTTTGTGTGTGCATACCAGTGGTCAACTCAACAAAAGGAAGGAAAAGTTTGACCATTTAATGATTAAAGTGACGGTTTTTCCATGAATAATAAGCCTTTGTATAAGCCCTGAGTGTAAGACAAACCATTTTTCTACGGCCCCTTCGATAATAGGTAGCAAATGTTTCGCGTTTCGACGGTCTATAATATCTATGTATCCTGTCACCGGCTTGTAAACGGTGTCAACTATTCCAAAACCAAAATAGGGTCGATCGGGGCTCGTCCACGATGATGCTTCGCCTTGCGTCAAAAGCAACTCTTGTTGATTTGAATTATAATATTGTTCCCACCAAGCCTTATTGGGTTTTAAAGTAGAAAAAGTGGGCACAAACTTCTCGCAGAGAGGCAAAGCCGTTGACATAAGATGGCTCAGATACTCCAGTTTGGAGTTTAAAATTCTTATTTTGATTTACTCCGTAAATTGATAACGTGAATCGAAGATGATAAGGAATAACATAACCAATGAAAGATAGGAAAGAAAATAAACGCAAGGTAAATATAAAAAAAAACACTGACTTTCTTGAAAAAATCTCAACTTTCGAAGTTCAAAGAAAAAATAGATGCACTTTAAGATCTTTGAATTTCTAGAACAATTTATGATTAGCGCTTTTTTTAAAATATGAACCCAACTAGAGAAAATTGGATCAATAGCTAAAAAAAATTTTCCACCGGAAATCTAAAAATTATATTCAACTTTTGAAACTAGAAATCGTTCACGTTTTTTCGCTCCATTTCCACGTTTGTACTTGGAGAGTGCTATTTACCTCACTTTCAGCAGATGGCTTTCAATTGAACTCAAAAAGTGAATATATACCTAAGTGCATTCATAAATGCATCAATATGTTTGAATGCACATCTGTCGCTATGGAGACTTTTCCTGAAAAAAAATCAGCAAGACCTATATAAGAGTCTTCATTACGTTCATTACTCTTACTAAGTAGTGTCACAAAATCTCCTTTTCTAATCGAAATGTTCAGTTTATGTCGAGAACGTCCAAACAAGGTAATATTTCTTCCCTTAAGTTCATTTTACTTTACAACTTAAACAGCTGTTGGAATTTAGATCTTTCCGGTTTTTTAAAACTGCTGTAGTCTGATATAGTCGTTGCTGTAGTCTGATTGGTCGAAAATTTTAGTAGCTTTGTGAATTTAACATACTTATCAGTCCCCCCTTTCACCAGCAGATTTAAGAAGGAGCATACGCACGCCCACCCACCCACCCCTTGCTTCCTCCTCAGGGATTCGACCTCCTGTCGACCCAAGGGGTCCCCCTTTGTACTATTTTGAGACATCCATTTTTGGCTGACTGACCCTAAAATTTTTCCCAAGACGCCAAAATATACTTTTTTCAAGAGAGGATCCTGCGGTGCACAAAATTTTATCAAAATGGGGTCTTTAAAGTGATTTAGGAGAACTCAGAAAATCCCCCCTCGAGAAAATCCTAGATCCGCCCATGCCCCCTTTAATAAAAGAGGATAACTGTTAAGTAGATCCGTGATATTAATAAGAAAGAAATCAGCGCCACCCCGTTCTGTAATTACTTGAACCGAACACAGACTGCTGCATATTCTGCTTAATTTATATCGGCCTATTATTACGCTTAAAGTTTTGTCCAATAAAAATTTTATCTGGATTCTGGTTGGCTGATACTTATTTGTCTGATTCCTGATCTGTCGGATTGCCTGGTTGTCTAGTTGTTGAAAACAACAAAAACAAGCTTAAGAAAGATAAAAAGGATGCAGAAAGACGTATTTCTGCATCCTGTTTAAACAATGAGGCGATACTTACAGTAAATCAAAAACATAGCATAGCAAGCCGACAGACAAAAAAAATTGTTCGGAAAAACAACTGAAAAATTTTCAATGGTTTGAAGTAACTTTTGAAGAAAAAGATTCTAAAAAAACAAGAATTCAAGCAGTTTTTTGGCGCGCGCTCTCCCTTCAAAATTAGTATATATTGGCGCTAAAGGCGCCTTTAGAAAAGTTTTAGGGTCAGTCAGCCAAAAAATGGATATCCCCAAATAGTACAAAGGGGGACCCTTTCGGTCAGCATGGGGTCGAATATTTGAGGGGGGGGGGGGGGTTAGTTCGGTCTATCGCATTAACTAATGTTATATCCAATTAAGTATATTTCAATCGAAAAATAACTAGTTGCTAACAAAACTCCTCACTTACCCGTAATCACTGTGTTCCTCACGCCTCAATTGACCGAATTTGACTTTGCTTAACTGCAACTTCTCAAGAGGTGGATAGTAGAGAGAGACATCGCATAGCAGTCGGGTTTCCTTCACCGCCTATGTTTTCATGCTTTTCACAAAAGAAGTTGACATCTTCATTCAGACCTGAAAACAAAGCAGTAACCAACAATTTTTCTGCCCGTTAGAATCAGGATAATATCTTATCTGAATAATCAGTTTAGACGTGTTGATAAAATTCAAATTCAGCAAGAAAAATTGATTTGGAAAAAAAAATTTGTTTTAGAGAATAATGGTAAATTACAAAATATAACACAAGCTTTGCTTGTGTAAAAAATACGACAAAACACATAATAAAATTAATAATGCTTACCAACGGCAATAGCCATTAGCAGTCTCAGAGATATTTTCTTCATCTTCTGATAAAATTGAGTGAGACAGGATACGAACTGTGCATTTGGCCACTGTAGACCAAACATCTGCACCTCAAATGGGACAAAGTTGAAGGCCTCTTTCAGGTCACTGGGCTGTTTAGGATCCAAAGACTCCACCTGAACACAAACTTGAGTTCAATTTAAGTCACACTTGGTCATTAAGCCTTTTGAATGAAATGCATCAGGCTCAGTGGATGAATTAATGGCAACCTCCTGGCCAATCGATTTGTTAGAGAAAACGTGCCTGGTAGCCGACATATCCATGATTTCTTTCGTCACTGCTGCCCCGTGAAAACTTTTGTTTTTCCTTTTCAGGCAGTTGAAAAAAGTCGCTGCACAAATTGTTCACCAAATCCACTTCCTCTTTCTCCAAGCCAGTTCTTCAGGTATAGAAAGCCTATAGTGGTATAAATTATGCAATTCAATTAAATTGTAACCTATAATGCAGATGAAATATACAAATTTTTTATATCAAATATTTTTTGGCAATAGTTTCGAAACGATCTTTGAATCAACTTTACCTGTGTTTTTGAGAGCAAACAGTACATTTTCAGACAGCCACTCTAGCATCTCTAAGTTGAGGTCTTCATCTTCAACTGAGGCAGACAGGAGGGAGAAATCAATAGTTGGAATGTACTCACTCTCTATTCCATCCTCAGCGACACTCATACACCTGAAAATTAGTGTCATCTGCAGATTTTTAACAAGTTAATACACTACCTCACATAAACGTCAATTTTATGGTGTATTACGTGCTTTTACACAGAATCGAGCGATACAACACGTTTCTGCGCGCCATTTGAACTTACGCATTCGGATAACGTAAATTTCCTTCCGTTTAGGAAATGAATTTGAATTGAAATTAAAAAACAAAAATCAAATTGCTAAAAAATCAAACTAGAAAAACTTATCACTCTCTTGAAAAAAAAACAAGACCTAATCAAAAGACTTCTTTTCGTTCATTAACACTTCATGAACATTTACTACAGATACCTTTATCACTTAGCCCACCTACACATGACCCATTGACACTAGATCTATCGACATTTGTCAGAGTTGGGCTACTACAAGGGTCACAGAAACCTCCAATGAAGATAAAACAATTTGAAAATTGATCACTTTTTTAAAATTTTATGTGAAACTTTTCCATCAGTATTTTTTTCATGTCTAGGAGAGAAGACTGCTGAAATATAGAACACATGGCAAAATGGTCCATTTAGCCGATTTGTAATAATCCCAAAATACGCTCGAGAAAAATTTGCACTCAAAAAAAATGTCAATACTGCCACGTTGAACTCTAACAAATGATCAAATGGCACAGAAAAAGTCAAAAATTTGGGTTTACATTTTAAAGGTCAATGGTATTTTGAATTTGGTTCAATTCGCTAACGACCGGGAAAGAGTTTCAGGGGTCAAATATTTTTTGCTATTGCAAAAAAATGAAGAAAAACAATAATTACAAACTCTATTACTTATTATCTTAAATTAAACTCATTGATACACACTCGAAAAGTATTAAAAGTACGTTTCAAGTATAAAATAAGGCGCTACTTCCATCAAAAGTTAAAATTTAGTTTCATTGCTTCTTTTTTCGCGTTCTCTTCTTTTTCTGTGCTATAAACATACTTCTACTTCAGCTGTGCGTATCTGGTTACTGTCCAAGCACTGGCGAAAATGACACATTGCAGTAAGCATGAGAAGCATGCAAAATACATGATATACATGGTTCCGAGTGCGGATTCAAACAGGTAGCCAGAGAGAATAGGGGTGTAGGGGTGAGGGCACTCCACAGCCGGCGAAAAAAGAGGAAGACATTTTGCCAGTGATGTCCATCTTCTAAACATGGCAAACAAACAAATGACAAAAAATCTTCTTTAAGAGAAAAAGACTAACTTGGACAATATTTCAAACTTAGTTTTAAAAATTGATACAAAACGTGTTATTCTCTAAATTAGTTTCATCAGTTTAAATTCGAAAGTCTAATGAAAATATATATAGACATGAGGCTGCTTAGATCAATCCAATTAAAGTGTGGCGGCATACACCGACTCAAACCAATTCGGACATACCCATGCTTTCATTTTGTATTTACTTATGATAAGCACCAAATTGAAACAGAATATCTATTAAAGCTCCATTGCAGCTCTCGAACAAAGATCAATTGCAAATAGTTTATGAGGCGCAGATGGACAACGTGAATAGAACCATCACAACAATGACTGCAAAATCATAACTATTGTAGTTTGACGATAATATTCTTTCCTATTGGGGCGTAGCGATAAGCATATTTGCATGTGATATTAATTACTTTGATCAGATGTTCAATCAAACAATTTTAAAAATTGTTAGTTTTGCATAGAAGTGAATCTGCGCTTCGCAAACAAGCGAGAAAACAGAAAAAAGTAGCTGTGAAAATTTAAAAGGAAGCCTTTAAAAGGAAAAAGTTTCTATATGCCGGAATCGAAACTCTAACCAGCAGATTATGAATCTCACATCCTCGCATTTTATCATTACCGTAGCCAATATTTTATAGGTCAATGTTTTTTCGAGTTCTTCAACTGCCTTTTTTTTTAAAAAAAAGCATTTAACCTATGGATGCATTTCGAGTGAAACTTTCAGGGTTCACCTAAAAACCTCTGACAAACATGATGGATTCGTAAAACTCATACGAACTTTATTTCTGAAAAAATCTTGGTTTGTTTCACAGTTAATAATTTAGATAGTTTGGATCGTAATAATTGAGCAAGATGAGCCGGAGCACTTGAAACAAAAATTTAATTGATTCCGAAATGATTCGAACGATTTCTCTTTGATGCATGTAAATTTCGTGCTCAGTGTACCTAGAGTTCAACTGTTGGATGAGCTGCTATTAGGATCAGCGGGTGACATGATTCAACTTCCATTGTTGGGGCAAATTCGAGTCTACTGCGCGAACGAAAAATATGCTTCTGGTCTAGGCATGGATTGAATTTTATCAATTGTTCTTCGGATCCAGGCGGCGCTTCTGTTGTAGATGTTTGATCGTTTCACTGAAACATTCTCGCTCGTTCTTTATCGTTACTAGTTGAATGTTGTCGTTCTTCTCGATGTTTGCCGTTAGAGTCTTGGTCTTTTGCCCATGATGAGATCAGTTTTTTGAAAAACCTGAAAACTGCGGCGATGGTGAACAAAAGTTTATTCCACGAGGAAAAATGACTGATGTCAAAGACTGGAGGACCTGAAAACGGTGGCTGTGATGCACACACTGAGGCAAATTTTGAGATGTTTTTAGTGTCTATTACAGAAGACTTCAGTGGCCATTGAGATGATTGTGACATCAGAAAGTCTGCTTACCATTTTTATTCGATGTCACTAGGTTTTAGTCCTCTAGAGCCGTGATCAGCAGGGTTGAGATGAGTCGCTATATGGTGCCAGATATTGTTTCCTTGAGTAGCGCTTGTTTCGGCTGGATGATCTGACACAAAACTCTTGTTTTTTCTTCGAATTTATCCAGTCAGTTACAGTTTGACTGTCTGTCCACTTGTGTATGTCAGGATCAGCGTTTAGCGTAAGTTGTACTTTAGCAAAATTAACTAGTCGAAATCCAATAGTTGCTGCTTCAAGCTCTAGTTTTGGATTATTATTATTATTATTAAAAAACAAAACCGTTTTTTATAATTAAATTTAATAAAACTTTATTGGAAAAAACATACACTGACTAAATACAGTGCTGATTTAAATTATCCGGACAAAAAGAACAAACTTGAATTTTCAAACGCGCTTTTCTCAAATTGGGTTGAGTTTAGACAAAAAGTGAACAGAACAAATGTTGCTTAGAAATTCACCAGAATTAATATGATGCCATTTTTCTCCGAAATTCTCAACCAAAATTTTAGCCCAAAAATGGGTCAATTTGGCTTTTTTCAATTAATCAAGAATTACGTTGAAACTACTTTGTTAATTGATAAGAATATTATATCATTAGAAGCCTCTTACGCAGCCCAACAAAGTTTAAGAAGGGTTAAATCTCCAAAAACCAATGTAAGAGAAAAAATTTTCACTTGATAATCAATAAATGTGATTTTTACTATAAAACCCAGAATCTCTGTTTAAAAATAAATTTTGAACAATTTGCGCAAACTTTTGGATGTTTAACCCTTCTAAAACTTTGTTAAGCTGCTTAAGAGGCTTCCTGTGATATAATTTTCTTATCAATTAACAAAGTAGTTGCAGCGTAATTCTTGATTAAATGAAAAAAGCCAAAATAACCCATTTTTGGGGTAAAATTTTTGTCGAGAAATTCGGAGAAAAAATGGCACCATATTAATTCTGGTGAAATTCTAAGCAATTTTTGTTCTCTTCACTTTTTGTCTAATCTTAACCCAATTTGAGAAAAACGCGTTTGAAAATTCAAGTTTTGTTCGTTTTGTCCGGATAATTTAAATCAGCACTGTATTAACTTGAATAACAGGAGCGAATCAAAAACCATTGCATCTACGATGAAAACTGCAGACACCACCAGAAAATGACCCAACTTCTCAAACATCAGCGTGAACATGACAAAAAGCAGCTCTAGAAAGTGCAATAAGAAAAATAGATATACGCCTCGAATAAGCAAAAATTCTCGGCTAGGTCTAGGATTCGATCTGCGACCTACAGCAATCTACGCACTAACCACTCAGCCACGCACACTTAACCACCGACAAACACTAGTTACGAATAAAGCAGCTACATATGCTAAGAAATTGCCAATACAAATATACACAATTTGGCATATAACAAACTAAATGCATTAGCATGTAACAAATCAGAAAGCATAAAGCCATATTATGTATAAATTAAGGATTTCAAAAAATTGAGAGATCTTTTGAGTGAGAAAACTTTGAGTTGAAATCGAGTTTTATGATTGTTTTGTCGTTTGAAACTAGTAACTTTTTTCGGTTCAGTTGATGAATTAAAAACACATGAACTCTGTTAACTTATTACTAGTCGAATGTCAAAGCACAGGCTATCAAAAAGCTGCACAAGTGCCCTAAAGGTGGCACCAATATTTTTGACTTAGGTAAGAAAAAAGAAGGTTCTTAATAGCATACCGAACTGGTGTAAATAAGCCGAGAAACATAAGCAGACAAACGAAAATCCGACAATTCAATTTCTCCCGGAAAATTTTTTTCTATTTCATAAGCAATTTCAAAAACAAAGTCCGGCTGGGACACCAACCCCAGAAATTAGGGAACAAAGGCATCCCCGTCACCTCTGTGCTAGCAGGGTGACCACTTCGGGAGTGAAAAAATAGAGACTAGCCTGAATACGCAGCGAAAACTAGTATTCCACAAAAAATTTATTTCGAATGATAGTTTAAATTACAACAAAAAGAACAAAATGATTATTTCAAGATCACGTTTACAATCTTTTACCACGAAACGACTTGATTCTTACCACCGAATGGAGAACTAAATTAGCCGACTAACTTAATGACATGAACTAAGCGCCAAATTAGTAAACTGAAAGACTCAAAACTCAATAATCAAAAATAAATCATTTAAAAAGCAACAACTTAACTACGATCTGAAATTGGAATCTTAATCATCCAAAGCGTATTGCCATTGTCAGCATCGCGATTCATAACTAAAGGACTAGGACTCAAAAAGAGATTTGATGAAAGAAAAATAAAAAACGATTTTTACATTTTGATTTACTGATATCATTCCAAGTTAAGTGTACTTAATAAAATAACAACAAATAAAAATAACAGCTCAAACGCGATCAAACTACGAGACGCTCACATGTACTGTGCTGCGATGTTTCCACCTCGACGCCTTTCTTCCTCTTCTCCGCCATTTCAACTTGTCTTGTCTTGTAAGTCGTTTACAACCCCTGGGGGTCTCGACTGCCACTCCCCGGACACGCCGTGTTCCTCTGTCTTGCTACATTTGTTTTTGTGATGGGGATCCCGCAGTCCGGGCATGTGGTCCTGGCTAGTGTGCTGGCGCTTCTAAGAGTCATTGTGTCATGTCTTCTCGAACAGTAGGTTCTTCTATGTCTCGCCATGTTCGTCGTGCTGAGTTCTTTCCCACAGTCCGGGCACGTCCCTCTTGGGGCCCCTCCACATTGCTTGGCGTGGTTCGTTCTTTGTGCTTTTTGTTCGAAAGTTGTGCGACATTTTTCACATTCGAATATTAGTTCATTGCGCTTGTGGATTCGTGTTTCATGATGGTCTCGTCCCACCTTTGTTCGGCATGTCTTTACGCATGGTGGCCAACGACATTTGAACCCTTCCTCCGTGACTGGTTTACCGGCTTGGCTTCTGGTTGGTTTCTGATCCCCTTTGTGTATTTCGCACATCTTGTTCTCCCATTCATCCATGGCCTTCTTCCTTTCGTTTACAATACCCTTACAATTTTTTCTGTCCATAGTTAGACCTTCGATGTTAGTCCAATCTAACCCTGCCTCTTTTAAAATTCTTTTCCAGTACGTTATAGTGTTGTTCTTCCCATGCTTTGGTCTTTCGCCTACTTCCGTCCAGTTGCCCAGAGTGATTTTCTTTACTGTTCTTGTGTCCGGCATCCTCGTCACGTGTCCTATCCTCTTCAGTGCCCGTGCTTCTATCTTCTGTCGAATTGATGTTATTCCTAGTTGCCTTCTGATCTCAAAACTATTCACCCCTTCCTTCTGCATCCTGTATAGCGCCCGCCCCTTCCCATTATTCCATACGTTTCTGTACGCTATATCGGCCACTCTTTGTAGTTTCGAAATGTCCGTGGTTGTCCAGGGTCTCACCGAGCAGTCGAATAGCATGGTTGACTCTACTACTGCTTGGACAATTACCGCCTTGGTTTTCTTTGAGAGTGTTGACTTCCATAACCATTTCTTGGCCTTTGACCAAGCATGGTAGCCTCTTTTAATCCTCGCGTTTATGTCTTCCTTTCTTCCAATTAGAGTCCCTAACATCCTTGTCCTGTCCGCTGCCTCGCTTCCAAACGTTATGAATTCTTCTTTCCCATTGTGACACACTTCTTCATACTTCAGCATCGTCTTCTTAATTGTCTCTTTACCTCGACTGAGCTCTTCCATACTTCCTAACAGAGTGGAGTCGTCCGCAAACAGCGAGTCTAGTATCTGGAATTCAATCCTGTTGCTGCTCCGTAGGTTCCTTTGGGACGTCGCAGGGGGGAGGCTGTTTCCCGGTCTCCAGGTCCACTTCAAGCCGCATTCTTCCTTTGACTCCTTTATCCGATCCATTTGGGCTTGCCTCATGGATGTAGCATGATAAATATTAAACAGAATGGGCGAGGTGGCTCAACCTTCGCGAAGGCCCCTTTGTGGCGTCCATGGTGTACTCAGCTCCTGTTTGACTTTTACTCGATATTGTGTGTTCTCATGTAAGCCTTTCAGGATTTCTAAGATGCTTGGAGGCATAACTAGCTTTCCTAGTATCCCCCATAAAAGTGGTTTGTTCGTTCTCGGGTACGCCTTTTTTATGTCCAAGAGTACAGCTCCTGGTCTTCTCGGGTTGTGTTGTCTCTTTTTGTTGTGTTGTCAGCGGCATTGATCCCAATTAGGCGCACTCCGTCAATCCCTGACGCGCCGTCCTTCATGAGAGCAACTTCTCGCTCCACTTCCTGCACTGTGAATTCCATTTCTATTTTCCGTGCTGCTTCTCGTGCCACAGTGTCCCTTCTTTGTTCCAGACTATCGATTAAGGATTTAATTTCTCCCTCCGGTCGGTCATATCTCGTTGCCGAGACTTGCATGAAATGCTCTTTGTATTCCTCCGGGCTGAAGAATTCGTCCTCAACACAGCTATTATTGTCTTTGATGCCAATCCTTCTCAAAGTTTTATACAGGATTCTCATATCGCCGCTAGTTTCGGCTCTTTTGGCTTCGTTGACAATCTCTAGCCACCATTCTTCTTCCCAACCTTTCTTCTGTCTTTTGAAATCCTTTCTAGCTTTCCGTATCTCTTCCTTCGCTGCTTCGTTTCCGTCTTGTGCTCGAGCTGTTAGTTCGCATATTCTCTTTTGAGCCCTTTCTATTTCCTCTTTGTGCCTATCCAGCGCGGGGTTTAGGGGTTTTTTTTCTACTGTGCCGCACACTTCTTCTCCTACTCTCTTCATCGCCTTTGCTGTTTGTGTCCAGTCTTCGAGCTCTTCTGTAGCTAATTTATTGGCGTATTCCGTTGCCTTTGTTACCGTTCTTAGTTTTTCCCAGTCTATTTTCTTCTTGGGTTGGCTGGTCTTGTTATTGCGCTTCCTGTCAAGAGAGTTATTCAGGGCACAGCACATCGCTTTCGGTCTGTGGTCGCTTAGATCCTTGCTCGTCGGTACAGTGAAAATCCTCCGTGCGCGTTTTGCCCGGTCTTGTTGTTTCATAATGAAGCCGTCTATTCCATGCCATGTTTTGTTCTTGGGATGCTTCCATGTTCCTCTCCTCTTGTGGCTGAAAAAGGAGTTGCACCAGGCTAGGCTGTTCTCTTGGCACCATTCCAGTAGGTTCATACCCGCTGCATTTGTCTTGCCTAAACCGTGGATATTCGCCGTCTGGTCCGCCCCCCTGGTAGCACTCTCCCCTACCACTGAGTTGAATTCGCCCCCTATTATGACCATGTCCTTGCTCTCGATTAGGGTAGAGAGCTCCTCTCTGTACCTCATGAACTCGATACTGAGGCCTTCCCAGAGTGGTTGATATGTCGAGATAAACCGGTAGCCATCCACGTCTATCGAGATGCTTCTCTCCCGGATTATTCTCCTATAACCTTGATCTGCCCATTTCGAGGCCCACTGGTCCCTTAGGAAAATGCCACTTCTATTTCCATGGATCAATACTCCGAAAATCTCCCTGGCCTTGATCCATTTGAAGCCTTCTTCTTGTTCTTGGAATTCGCTCATCATTACCACTTCCGCCTTGCTGTTGGCTATGGATTTAACAATCTCCGCGAATCTGTTTCTTTTCGGGAAACTAACTCGCGCCCTTTGGATATTCCAAGCCCATAGCGTGGTAGTCTCCTCCCTTCCTTTGTTTCTTGCGTCCTTCATCCACTTCTCATGTCGCTCTCTTTGCCTTCGCTGTCTCTTCTCTCTTTTGTTCCTCTTTCTCCTGATCCGTTTGCTGTCGGGGGGGGGGGGGGGAGCAGGGCAGCATGTTGCCCTGAAACTTGCGTCCCACCTTCCATTCGTTGCATTTTACTGACCACTCGGTTCTTTTGACTCTTTTATCGCACACTGCACACTTCCACACTTTCGGACCTGGGTTTGGTTCCACATCGTTGTACAGATGTAGGGACACCAGAGATTCCGTGTGCCGTAGGGTGTGACGGATCGCCTTCATCGAGGGACGGTTGGCTGTGCCGTCTCTGTTTTGGGGTGTGTTTGAGAGACTCCGCCCGGCAGTGTGACCTAAGTCTGACTCACTGCCGGGCCTTGTCCCCCCCCCGCTTGGTTTGGTCTTTGTTCGATTTCTCTCTGCGCTTTTCTCCACGGGCAGGCGCCAAAACATCGAAAAGCACACCCCAAAACAGAGACGGCACAGCCAACCGTCCCTCGATGAAGGCGATCCGTCACACCCTACGGCACACGGAATCTCTCAAACACAAAGCGTATTGCCATTGTCAGGCATCGCGATTCATAACTAAAGGACTAGGACTCAAAAAGAGATTTGATGAAAGAAAAATAAAAAACGATTTTTACATTTTGATTTACTGATATCATTCCAAGTTAAGTGTACTTAATAAAATAACAACAAATAAAAATAACAGCTCAAACGCGATCAAACTACGAGACGCTCACTTGTACTGTGCTGCGATGTTTCCACCTCGACGCCTTTCTTCCTCTTCGCCATTTCAACTGACTGCTCCTTCAGCTCTTCTTCCTCCTCGTAGACTGGTATTTTGAAGGGCAGGATTATAAGGAAGACTATAATTATGGAAGCAAGCATGGAGAATGAGCCCACTATGACGAATGGCCAGTGAATCATACTCACATCTGCCTCTTTTCGTTGTTCAGAATCACCCGACTGAGCAAAAGCTGGAACAAAAAAAAACCGCTTTGAAAATAGATAGGGTTTTCAAAACACTAAAACGGCATTTCTGTGTAAAAAAAATCCAGTAAAATCCAACATTTTGAATCTCCTTCTAGTTATAATGGAAACGCCTAACTAAATTTGCCGAAAAAAAATTGTATAAGAAGAAAGCCTATTTATGGATAAGATTAAAATGTCTATGATTAACTAGCACACAGGGTTGGCAAATTGTATGTTAGTTTCAAAAATAACAAACAAACAGTAAATAGTCGAAAAAACTATGTTATTTATATTTAAAAAAATCAACACATCAGAAACCGTTGTTTCTTGAAAAAAAAACAGTTTTCCAACTTTCTCGATGCCAAGTTGGGCTCTGAGCTTCCCATACGTGTTCCGAAAATAAACCAAAAACCCGAACTGAAAAATTCTGCACTCGTAAAAAGTCATATACCCCCTCCGCATAAAAATAGTTGTATGCGGAATGCTTTCCAAAGAAATACCCACTTTTCTAAGAAACCGCTAACATCACTGTTAGAAATTATAACACAGAGGCGAAGCTGTGCTTCGCAATCACTAGCGATAACACGACAAAAAGCAGCTCTGGAGTTCTAAAAAGTGCAATAAAAAAAGTAAAAATAAGCCTCGAATTACTAACAAATCGGCGGCATCTCGGACTCGAACCTACGATCTTGAAATTGGAATCTTAATCATCCAAAGCGTATTGCCATTGTCAGGCATCGCGATTCATAACTAAAGGACTAGGACTCAAAAAGAGATTTGATGAAAGAAAAATAAAAAACGATTTTTACATTTTGATTTACTGATATCATTCCAAGTTAAGTGTACTTAATAAAATAACAACAAATAAAAATAACAGCTCAAACGCGATCAAACTACGAGACGCTCACTTGTACTGTGCTGCGATGTTTCCACCTCGACGCCTTTCTTTCTCTTCGCCATTTCAACTGACTGCTCCTTCAGCTCTTCTTCCTCCTCGTAGACTGGTATTTTGAAGGGCAGGATTATAAGGAAGACTATAATTATGGAAGCAAGCATGGAGAATGAGCCCACTATGACGAATGGCCAGTGAATCATACTCGCATCTGCCTCTTTTCGTTGTTCAGAATCACCCGACTGAGCAAAAGCTGGAACAAAAAAAACCGCTTTGAAAATAGATAGGGTTTTCAAAACACTAAAACGGCATTTCTGTGTAAAAAAAATCCAGTAAAATCCAACATTTTGAATCTCCTTCTAGTTATAATGGAAACGCCTAACTAAATTTGCCGAAAAAAAATTGTATAAGAAGAAAGCCTATTTATGGATAAGATTAAAATGTCTATGATTAACTAGCACAAACTATGTTATTTATATTTAAAAAAATCAACACATTAGAAACCATTGTTTCTTGAAAAAAAAAAAAACAGTTTTCCAACTTTCTCGACGCCAAGTTGGGCTCTGAGCTTCCCATACGTGTTCCGAAAATAAACCAAAAACCCGAACTGAAAAATTCTGCACTCGTAAAAAGTCATATACCCCCTCCGCATAAAAATAGTTGTATGCGGAATGCTTTCCAAAGAAATACCCACTTTTCTAAGAAACCGCTAACATCACTGTTAGAAATTATAACACAGAGGCGAAGCTGTGCTTCGCAACCACTAGCGATAACACGACAAAAAGCAGCTCTGGAGTTCTAAAAAGTGCAATAAAAAAAGTAAAAATAAGCCTCGAATTACTAACAAATCGGCGGCATCTCGGACTCGAACCTACGATCTTGAAATTATGAGCCTCACGAACTATCCACTCAGCCATGGACGCTTTATCCATTAGAATACTAGCCACAAACAAAGCCGAGAAAAGATTTTAAGAAATTTCCAATGCTATAGATCGTGATTATAGCAAAAAGTCACACAAGTAAAAACTTTTAATGAACATTTGCATTTGCGAGTTAGGTTAGAAAAAAAGAAGGCTCGTACTAAAACACTAGCTGCTCGCTAGCGTAAATAACATTGTAAGCTAAATTGAATGTTAAATAACAATGTTAAATAACTTCCCAACCTTGCGGGCAACCGAAGTTATTGCAGCATACCTGTAATATTTGTTTTCAACAACGAGTCTTCACTATCTCCTTGTTTACTGCCTGGACACACGACCCCTCTGACTTCTGGGAGGACTAGGAAGCCCACTCCTATGAATGTGAGTTTTATCCCAGGTGGACGCGAAAACAAAATAGAAATGAAAATAATGACCTGAAAAATCACAGACCGACAAAACTTTGTACCATGAAAACACGTTGAACAAAGTGCAGTGATACGTCATAAACTTTTACTGTCAAGAAGAAACAATCACATTTTTTTGAATTTTGACTATGAGCAGATAGCCCATAAAAAAGTGTTAAACAATTCAAGAAAACGGCAAAAAAAATTCACGTCAAGATCTTTCAATACAAAGAAATTTTTGAATTGACTTTTTTAAGATAAAATTAACCCCACTAGAGTTATGATATCAATGACATATTGTTTATTCATCTGCAAAACCTAAATAATAAAATTCTTTCGAGAGTAAAGTCATTCACGTTTTTTTCGTGCCGTTTGATATTAAAAAACCAAAATTTGCCTCAATTTAGCAAAAAAATGGAGAGAACTTGAGAATTTTAAATTCAAATCGCGAAAAAATCAAATCTCAGGATGATCAAATTTTGTGGGAATTTTTCCTGAAAAAATTACACAATTTAAAATGTTTTTACTTCTTTCATTGGCACTTGATAGCCACAAAAAAGTTCTTTAATAAATACTTTCTTTATTTTCATATTTTTAAAAACATAGACAACTAACAATTGGAAAAGAGTAATGAACGCAAGGAAACTGGCAAAAAACTGACTTGTTTTATCAAGAGCCTTCAACTTTTGAACTTCGAAGAAAAAAAACATATGGCCTTCAAGCTCTTTGAATTTATAGAATAATTTATGATGGAAACTTTTTTGTTTAAATTGACCCAATTTGAGAAAACTGGATCAATACTTCGTGACCTTTACACTTTTGCTGTTAGATAGTGGAGTTTGCCTTCCTTTTAACAATGAAAATGAATTGAACTTAAAAAGAAATCACAAGTGAAACCGCAAAAAAATCAACATTGAGCGTGAACAAATTTTTCCCGAAAAAAAAAACGAACAAAAAAAATCAGCAAGACCTATATACGAGTACTCACTACTTTCATTACTCTTAACAACTGTGATATATTTCTACGCAACTAGTTCAGAAACTGCTTTTCTATTTATTATCGTAGTTGTTTTTTTTTATTACTTTGAACAGATTAATGCCCTGGTCAAAAAAAAAAAGAGCATCATCAGCAGACAGTTGAAGAGTTTAAAAAGTTGAAAAATATATGGCTTTAAAGCTCTTTGAATTTCAAGAACAATTTATGAGTGGCACTTTTTTGATAAAATTTTTATCAAATTGAGAAATCGAGTGCAAGGCAAAGTGTTTATTCCGCTGAAAAATCTAAAAACTAAAATCCTAGGTTAAATCAGTCCTTGCTTTAAATCAGTCCAAGTTATAAATTAGTCTTGAAAGAAATGAAAAAATATATTGAAAGCTAGACGGGAAAACATCTTGTATAGAAGTAATGAAAATGTTTTAATATCGAAGGTAAGACACATGCTGTAAAATCAACAAATGTAAAATAAGCAGAACACATACTGAAATTGAATTTAAAAAAATTAGCGACTTCGGTTGAAAAACGGACCCATATTATAACAAGGTGCCGAACGCTTCCCTTGTGTATTATGAGCAGAGGATTTTAGTTTTGCAAACAGTATAGGTCCCGGCTGCTCACCATTAGCGCCGGATCTTTGTAGTCGTTGGCATGGACGCGACCTTTGCATCATATGTGCATGGGCAGTCTTGAGAACTTGTCTATACATGCACCAATGCTAACAAATCATCCCTCATTCTGCAGTTGCGATTGTAGGACAATATCAAAGTGTCCGATATTTCCGATGGACAAATCGAAACAACAGCAAAAAAAAAGCTCTAAAAAGTTTTTTTTCTGGAGCTACACAGAAATTTTTCAAAATTTAAAGGGAAGTTCAGATAAAACAAAATATATTTTCTGAAATTATGAAAACAATGAGTTGTTTCAGAAATTCGCAGATATTTATTTTGAAAAAAGGGAATAATAGTCAGGACAAAACTCTGGAAAAAAAACAACTGTAGAATTTCAAAGAATAAATCTATGGCCTTAGAGCTCTTTGAATTTCAAGATCAATTAATGGCTGACACTTTTTTGATAGAAGTAACCCAATTTGAGAAAATTGGATCACAATGTAAATTTTTTTTATTTCGCAGGGAAATCTTAAAATTAAAACCTATTTTGGAAACTAGAAGTCGACAAGAAGTTTCCTGAAAAAAAAATTTAAAAAATCATCAAGACCTATAAACGAGTATTCACTGCGTTCATGACTCTTGATTGAAGCAATTCTTTTAGCTTAGACTTTACTTAGACTTTACTTAGACTTTACTAGACTTTACTAGACTTTACTAGACTTTACTTAGACTTTACTTGAAGCAATTCTTTTAGCAGGACTCAAGTTTGATGACCATAACGTTAAGAAACCACCAGAATTATTTGAGCCCGGTATGAAATCGAATAAAACATTATATTTATCCAGTAAACTCAAATGTATATTTGTAAGTTTCGACATTTTTGCTTCCTGAATGCACAAAATGAAACTGGGTGATTTTTTTAAAACTTGGCATTTTTTGATAAGTGAGTGTAATTTAGCTGGATTTCCTATGCTAAAAATATTAACGGAAAAAATATCTGGTTTTTCGCACATAAAAATTTTGCTAAAACTTCCCTCCAACCAAGTCTTCTCCGTTATTTTTAGATTTCATTTTTGGCCCTTTCTTCCGTGTTAAAACTGACCAAGAGGTTGGTGAAGTTTCACGCTCTCTTTTTGTAAGCATTCTTCCGTCAGAGGAACATTTTCGTTTGTTATTTTCGATATTTAGTTTGTCTTTTTTTTTCTTTTGCAGAGTAAGAATGAAAATCTACGACCTGATTGTTGAGAACCTCATCCTTTTGTTTTTCTTCGCTTGGAGTAGCTGCACTGTTTGTTTTAGATTCATCAATCAAAACTCCAGATGGTGGTGCTTCAACATTCTTATCTTCTTCATTTTCGGTACCATCACAAAACTTATCGATTGTTGTTTCGTCATCGTTTTTCTCGTCGCTGGCATTATTGGAGCTTGGTTTTTGTGGGTAGTGATTATTTGGATTTTTGGTTATTTGGTTCCCTATGTTACACCAATCATCGTGATGACCTTTTTCTTGGCGTCCTGACATTTTGAACTTTTGACATTCATGTAGTGAAGGTATGTGAAACGAGATTTCTACACCTTCCCACTTCTTGAAACCATCCATTCTGGATTTGTAAGACCAGTCCGTCAGCTTTTTTCTTGTTCTTCGTTTTGTATTTTAACTTCTAAAATTGCTCTTCCTGTGTAAACATACTGACCCGGTTCTGTTACGATACAGGTCTCACGTTGTTATATGGGGCTATGAATTATGTCTTCTAACAATTGGAGAATTAATTTCGCTTCGATATCGTTGCATACATAAGGCAAATTCGACAATTTGATTTTGGCTAGTTTTTTCTGTAATCAGAAGGTCAAAAGTATCATAGTAACCGAGGTTACAGTCATGAGTCCCTTCATCATGTATTCCAGTCAAAATCCTTGGAATTTTCTAGATATGGAAGTGATAATGATAAAAGAAGATGTCAAGTGTTTGAGTCCTTTTCATTTAAAATCAATACGGGTTACGCTTCTTCAATAAGAACACGCAACTCGACACGAGATAATATAATATACAAGTGTTACAAGTAAAAATTCTGAGTTGTTGGTTCGACAGTTTTAACCTTAAATTTTTGCACGGGATGACGTTCAACCATTGGGATCCAAATCTATCTTGGAACGCGTTGAACCTTTTTACGTCCGTTGGTTCGAGTCGTAAAATCAAGTCTGCAATTTCGCTGTCAAAAATTGGCTCCGTCCAATTTTTTTGGATTTCATTTTCCGGAGCCATTTCAATTTTTCCAAGGTCAAACCACCGTTTAAGCGCATCATCATAGGTTCTATCCACATGCTCCAAACCAAAGATTTCGCTCAAGGCATCTTTCGCTCCTACTGCTGAGGCTAAGAAAGCGGGTAAAGCGAGTAGAAGAGCGGAAGAAACGCCCAAGCCACCTTTGGCTGCCGGGAGAACTGCTTGTAAAAACTGGTTATCATCCATTTTCACGTTAGTGACCTTGCATAACGAATTTCTTAGTAATTTATCGTAGCCCTCCAAAAAATCATTTTGCAAAAATCAAGGGCTCGTACGCAAAAAATATAGGAGTTTTGGCATGCTAAAGCAATTTTTCAGGAGGTAAAAACCATAATGGGCGTCTAGTTTGTCAATGACATCCGAGATTTTTTCAAGCTCCTTAATTTTTTCGTCGAGCAATTCTTTTCGGCAAAGTTCGCCGATTGGAGATCCTAAAATGAGGAGTTCTTCTTTTGTTTTTATTTTTATTTTGGGGCATATTTTTCGAAATTGTGTTAAAATTGAACTATACTGTGTACTAGTAGTCGGTCCCAAAAAACAAAGTTCACACTTCTCAGTGTTTAAGCTCAGGCCGTAATTTTGTTCCGATTTCAGAATCTTTTTAAGGTCCCGAAGTACTACCTTATAGTCGTCGGCTAAATTCCCATCATCTAAATACCAGATGTTAATTTTCGACTCCAACTGTTTGACTAGTGTATGAATTGTTTCCGCAAAAAGGGGTGGGGCTTCAGGATCACCTTGCTGAGTTCCGTCTTCTGACATTATGACAGAGCTTCCGTAAAAAAAGGTAACTAGGTTTACCATACGCGCAATGGGTGTAATTATACAATTCGGGGCGATTTGAAAAAACATGATTCAGCATTGTTTCTCTGTTTAAAGAGTTAAAGGCATTCTTAAAATCTAGTCTAAAAGAACAGTACATTTTGGATTGTCGTCGCGCTCAATTAGGTTTCCAAACGAGTGCGCAGCTATTTCTGCTCCTCGTTTGGTACCGCATCCTACCTGTACGTTTCCGAAAAAATTTTGTCGCTCGGAGAGGGCCTTGCTTCCAGCGCATTTAGACGCGATACGTCTCAGCGTGTTGCCTATGGCGATCGGTCTCAACCCTCCGTCTATTTTTATGAGGGCGATAAGCTTTGCGCCAAAAAAGAAAGGTCTTAGTGGTTCCGGTATTTTGCCATCTCCAATGAGGTTTATCAGCTTAGTGAGCGATTTCAGAAAATTAGGTCCTGCACTGCCATTCGACTTACTAACAAGATCTTTAAAAATTTGAGGAAATATTTTATCAGGTCCTGCTGCTGATCCGTTTGGAAAGGACATTATCGCTTTGTATAGGTCGAAATCGGTTATGAAAAAACTATCCAACTTTTCTGGATTTGGAGCTGCAAATTTGGCTCGCTGCGGGTGCTTAGACAACAATTTTTGATCGTTATCAGTTGAAAAAGGAGCTATTTTGTCATCCGAAGCAGCCAGCCTTATTCCTCCCTTTACATTTCCTCCATCGAGCTTACTACTTATTAACTTTATTCTCTGCTCGAGGTCTCTCAGAGGCCGGCTTGAAACTTGGGGATGGGGTTTTGGAAGTGACATGTCATTTGCTCGAATTTTTTTATTTATCAAAGAGCTCATGCTTGTGGTCTGTTTGCGTCGACTTTTTTTCGGTTGCTCCAGAAAAACAAGAACGACGTTAAAAAAATTAGCCATTTTGTAACATCTTCTACATTGTAGACGAGGTCATTTATTTTGTCCGACAGACTTTCCGCCAAGGGAGCACGCGAGTCTTTTGGTACTCTCTTGAGTACTCGGAAATTTGAGATGGCTGTATTAATATAATTGTCTAGCACTAAATCATTACCTATTGTTGCTTTATTAACAGATTTTACATCAACGCATAAAGGACACTGAAACCATTGGGTTTTCTTAGAGTCGCTAAGAGAAATATTTACACAACTGATATGATACCAACTAGAACAACAATCACATCTAATCCAATTTATCAGTCCTGAAGGTTTTAAGCAATCTTTGCTTGTACACTCTTTGTTGTTTTTCCTCATCTTGACGCAGCATAAAGGTAAAAAAAAAGGATTTTGACTGGACTTTAGGGGACTGAACTAACCCATGATAAGCGGTTAGTGGGAATTTTACAAATCAGCAAAAAAAAAAAGACAACTAAATTAATTTAAAAGGTTAAAAGGCAGCATAAAGGTTAAAAATCAAAAACTAGGAACAATCTCATTCGAGCTCAGCAGGTCCAGCGGCGCACCACCAGACTCCTCAAGCCAGTTCCACTTCCCCACCTCCCCACAGAAAGCCACTTGACAGACCTGTCTCTAAAATCCCTCAGAGGGCGCTCCACATACAGGCACAAACATCAAAAATAACAAATCTATTTAATAAGTTTATCACAACAATTAGGCTAATACCCTATGTGGGCTTTAACTTACCCTATGTGGGCTAGTTTAGGGTAATTGTTCTTGGGTCTATGAGACCTTGGAAAGCATGCCATTGGAAATACCGTCCTGTTAAGTAGAATGATTCCTTCGCTTTTGATTCTAGTTATGAATTGCTCTGCTTCGGGGGAACAGTAACTGTCAGTGCATGAAGTTTACGGTCATCTTTCGTCACAGTTATTGTTTTTGAGATTGTCATCTTCTGTTGCATTGTTGTGGGGAATTGTTTAAGTATATCGGAAGCACAACTTCGATATGCCTGCGCCAGATTTTCAGCCGACTTTAAAATTTCTCTCGAGAACGGGGGGGATGATTTTGATTATTTGGATTTGTTTTGTTTCTGTCGTCGATTTGTTTGCTGTTAGCGCATTTCTGAATTTTGTGTCCATTTCAATCAGCACTTTATGAGTAATTGGTAGCTGAGATTCTGTCAGTTGTTGTTGACTCATGACTTGGTTTTATTCAATTGTAACATTCGTCTACTGCAGTCACACATGAGGCTTAAGAAAAATAGGCCCTATAACCACTGGCTCAAGGGTCAGGGACACCATCTCTCGTGTTTTTCTACCTCAAGAACGGTCGGAGCCAGTTCGGTTCGTTTGTGACATGAGACTACGACCCGTTACAGCTTAAAGGCTACTACTAAAATATCCCCCCACTCTAGAATTAGAAACGTCCCCATACTTTGGTCTCTAGATACCCAAAATACATGAACGCCGTTAAAAACCGGGTTGGAACAATCCGTTAAGTTACTTTTTTATTAGACAGTGGAACTTTGATCCATTTCAGATGGATCAACCTAAAACTCGCCTTACCTCAACATAACAATCATAAAACACACTCTAGGAATTTAAATTTGTACTCACATAGTAGCACGCTCAAGAAGTGGGAAATAATCCAGTCGGTAGTTAACTCAAGAATTAAATAACGTAACTAAATGAGTCTAATGTTTTATAGTTTTAACAATGAGAACGAGTTTATACTCTAGACAATAGTTTTCTTGTGAACCATTAGGACACTCAAGCTGTCCACCTTTCCACCGAAGGTTCACTCTAGTCCAGTTCCAAATAATACTCCAGTCGCTATAATCCAATTCGAGGGAATGCAATCGTCTCTGTCACAGATGGGACAGCTCTACTCTCGATTATTATAGTGATGGAAATTGCGAATAGCAATTTCCTACTGCTTTTTCTTACAACTTTCCCGCGTGTGCGACTCAATTGTTCTGAAATTGTTCTAACTTCTTTTTCTGATTTTCAGTTCTCGCGAGAAAATCGTGCATGACAGGTTCCATTCGAAATTTTGAAAAATTAGATTTCACTCCAAAATCAAGTGTTTTTTTGCTCCTCTCAAGGTCAAACTTCCAAATATGACCGACTGGCACATACTCCCCGGACTCGAGATCGATGTCCTCATCGCGCGCTGTCTTCTGCCAGTGAGTCCCAGAAAAACCGAGTCTTGCTCAAGATACAGTGCCAGTGGTCATTTACAGAAGTTTGCAGCAGATTTAAGCTTATCTACACCCCAAAGTTCACAGCCATTTAAAATTTTCACACTATTGCTAAACAGCAACCAAAATCTGCATACACCTGCACCCTTGAATTTTCGCTTTTCAAGCCAATCATTTTAAAATCTCTTTTGTCCTATTCAATCAGGAAATTTTCATGCAGCATTTCGATTTATATAATAAATATAGTATATTAGTAACAATATTTGCTTTGTTAAAATTTCTTTTTCGTGAATCCAAGTTTCACTCGGATCCACGCTCAAGCCCCCCTTCCCACTCAAGACTCAAGATCCATCCGATTTGCCCATTCATCTCGTACTCTTCGCCTTGGAGGTACTGCATCCTGAAGTGCTAGATGCGGCAAACTGTCTCAACAGTTCCTCTTCATCATCGGAACTAATCACAATCTCCTCCCAAGCCTTCAGCTGTTCATAGGATCGCATCCATTCTCTCTGCTCCTGCAACCTCTTTGCTTGGTTGGGTAGTGCCTTCACCCTAGCTTCTCGGTTCAAGCAAAAGGAGTTGTGCAGGCTCAAGCTCACGTTCTTCGCCAGGTCTTCCTCTAGTATCGACTCCCTCGCTTTGGTATTGTCTTTTCCATCCTGTCGTGATCGCATTACGATGGGTTAGCAGGGGTCTCTTGAAAGCTTCCGGCCCAATCTCGGCCTGGAACTGTCGATACTCTTTTTGATGTTTTCTCATGTGATCTTTCGTTGTCATGTACAACCAAGACGTCAGTGTCGCCCGAAACCATGGAAAGTACCTCAAGCGACTCCATACGTGCCTGACTTCCGTCGGTATGGCGAATACTTTCCACGCAGTCTCAAACAACTCGAGTCTCCAGCTGTAGTCTATCGCGTATATTGACTCAGCCGTTGGCGTCGTCGCCTCCCGATACTTCGTTATATTCTCTTCTATCCATCTCAGAGCTAACATCGTACTCACTACTAAGATCGTCACATTCTGTCGGTGATCCGGTAGTCCGATCGACCGGACTTCTTCCATATCCCACACCAGGCAAAGGTTCTTGTGATCTGGATACCACACCGTTTGCGCTAAACAGTGGCATGGGCATTCTCCATGGGTGATGTCAATGCTCCTGAGGTTACGCTCCCCCGAGGCTTCCAAGAGAGGCTCAAGCTCCATCATTTTCTCATGCATCGTGTCGTTATCTTCCAGGTTTGGAGCACTTCCCACAGGTTTTCCGATCACGTTTTGTCTCTCGTGATCGCTCGTGTTCTCTCTCTCCAACTTCAAAAGTTCTTCTTCCCAGATTTCACTCAAGTCATCTCTCAATTCTTTTGGTACTGTCCCTCTGATTTTTCTCAACAACTTGTGCGAGTGATGCGATATCCGAGCCAACCTCACGCACTTGGGCACTGAGAAGGCCTTGTCCACCAGTACTCTCTGGCTGGATGCTTCCACCATCACCATGTGCAGTGGGTAGTGACTTCCGCACAAGTTGGCCATCATTGACCCTATCAGCGATTTCGCGTTCAATGGCAAGCCATAAGCTTCGCTCATGGGAAATCCCATTTCCGCCTCGAGACCAACCTTCCAGCTCCGGATGTGTTTTTGAGTCACTTGCAACACCCCGGGCCATGATTCTACGCTCAACGCCGTCACTAAATGATGTTCAGATTCTAGTCTTTCCAGTGACTGCAGACTACACATTCTCGAGAAGAATCCGAGAGCTGTCGCTATATTCACCGTGGTTCTCGCGTAACACTCCGCTACTATTTGCACTTCACTTTTCTCCCTTTCTGTTATGTCTTCGAACCAAGTGACCAGGTCTTCTTTTTGAAATGACAGTATTCTAACGCATGACCGTCCATCGCAGGTGTGCTCTCCGTTCCCACACGTCGAATCCAGACAGCTACCCGGCTCCAATTTCTTTGCTGACCCGGGATTACTAGTCTTTTCGCTTGGCTCTTGCATCTGAGGTGAAATTAGCTTATGCAGCACACTCAACTTTGCCAGATCTTCATCTTCCGTTGGTGCTAACCTCACTCGCTCGGTGGCTTCCTCGATCAGACTCGCGTGGGGATGTGGACACCAGCAGGGTCTTAATAGCTTCCATACCACTCCCAAGTTCGTGGTTAACAAGCCATTTCCATCGCCCATGTTCACTTCAACTCTCTTGTTTGAACGCGGTATGCTCACCACCTCTGGTGTTTTCTCAAGAACCAGGCCCAGGCTCGGCCCCTCTTTTTCCACCGCGTCTATTTCCATTATTCTTTCTGTCCAAAACTTCAGTAGCTCCGCTACCTCATGGTTCCTGTGGGCGCCTCCAGCTTCCGAGTCTAAGAAGGGGTTGTAGGCCATTCCCATCACTCCAGACACATATTGGTATTCCCCCTTTTCGCTGATTCTCGAGTACTGCTCTGACGAGGCCAGGTTACGGTGAACATCATGTTCTTCTTCGAACTTCTTATTATAAAACCTCCGTACCTCGTCTAGCTTCCTATGGTTCTCTAGGGATAGTCTGGAACCCTCTTCCTTTTCTATTCCTGTGCTCTGATACACGTTCAAGATGACCGTTGAGACTCTTTTTTCCATGGTTTTGCTTACGCTTGCTCTCTGTTGGCAGGCCAGGATGGTGCTATCAGACATCATCGACATTATCCATCTCAAGAAACACGTGGCATCCTTTCTTCTGGCCAGGCTCAAGCCTGAGTTGTCCCTGGCTACGTGTTGCATCAGTGCCTGATACACATCTAGCTTCTTGCTTCCCAACTTCAGTCTGTCATACGAGGTCAGTGTTTCCAATTCTATCCCCACCAGACTCCAGGTGAACATTAATTGTCCTGCAGTTCTAACGAAGGGATTCGCCATTAATGGTGGTGCTGATGAGGGTGTCCTCATTGCTTCTTCAAAATGATCCTTCAACAAACTCTGCCAGGACCTCTTCAGATGATTTGCCATTTCTATTCTATTAACCTCGGCCTTTTGCTGGGTGGCCCAATTACGTCGCTTGCGAGCTACTCCACTGTCCAACTTCTTCCAGCAGTCCTCCATTTCTTTCAATGTTTCAAGGGCCACCCACCACGTCCGGGAGGTGTTTCTCGTCTTGTTCCTTTCCAATGGATCACTTGTCACTCGCTTGCCCGTGGCCTGGTGTGCCTTCGAGATCCATTCTTTGCCGACATCTACTTCCCATGTCTGTCCGTTCGTTGAACCTCTCTTCACGTTTATCTTCTGAGGCTTGAAGTCTTCCTCCGATTTCGAACTGGTGGAAACCTCTATTTCCCTCTCTACTTCAAGTGGTCTTCTGAGCTCCGAGCTGCTCTTGTATGCCGCCGTCTTGCATCTAGCCAAAACCATGGGCGCCGTCTCTCTCAAGTTTCCTTCCGAAACAGCATCCACTGAAGGACTACCCAATCCTTCCACTTCTCTCTTCCTCTTGCGAGTCTTCACATCTCTACTTGAGGGTGTTGTGGCTACCATCACTGA